CTCTGAAAAGCAAATATTTTTTACGGCCACATGCTCTTCTCACTCCCCAGTCGAAGCTGGGAAGAACGCAGAGCATTAAAACAATCCAGACACATAGCTTTCTTTTTTTCTCCCTTGCATTAGAGACTCCTGTGTTTTTAAGACTCTGAGAGGATAAGACACTGGGCGGGAGGGGGGCGGTCACTATCCTTAGAGCCATTCCTCTAAGTCACATTCACAAGACTGACTCACTATCTGTGACCCTGAGGGTCACTGGACCCTTTCAGTGTTCCTAAGCCCCAAAGGACTCTCTTGGCTGTCACGGGAGAGTGACTTAGTGGCGATGTGGCTGCTGACTCTACTAAGACTTACCATTTGGCATGTCTTCCAGGGATGGAAAGGAGATTATCAATAACATCTGAGTGAGTTTTCTTACCTGCATCGGCTCTATCTCTTATTTATGCGTATCTTTATTTGTATGGCTGCAGTAAGAGCATATCTGATGCTAGAAAGATCACGTGCCAAGTGTCAACGGATTCCCTTGGCACAGATGGGATGATGAGCCCTCCTGGGGAGATGTCAACAGTCCCTATCATTGCCTGTGTGCTTCCCAGGTGCCAGGCACAGGGCCCAAGTGTTTTTACACATTAACTCATTTCCTCAACCACTTTATGGAGTGGAAGTATTAACACTCACATTTTACAGAGATAAAAATGGAAACCTAGATAGGTGAACTTACTTTCCTAAGGTCACAAAACAAGTCAGTCAGTGGCCGTGTCAGTCAGCATGAGTTAAACCAGGCTTTGTGACAAACAGCCCCCAAGTTGTAGTGGCTGACAGCAAGAAAGGTTTATCCTCACTCAGGCTCCATGTCTGTGGAAGGGCCTGGAGGCTCTGCTTCCCCTCACGCTGGGCTTCGGGCAGACAGAGCTGCCCCTCCACCATGGGATCTGCTGGTTATCACGGCAGATGGGAGAACAGAACATGGCGAAGTGCTTTCTGGGGACACATGTTCCTCCTGTTCATTTTGTTGGCCAGTCTGTCACACGGCCACTCCTATTGTCAACTGAGGGAGGAAGTTCAGTCTTACCCTCTGGGGGATTTCTGTGGGCAGAGGGAGAATCTGAGAAGAAAAATATTTTCTTAAGCCTGTGCTCTTTACCCTGTCATGAAAGCTGCCCCTCACTGAGCACCTCCTGGGGGCCAGGCACGGGGAGAGACGATGATTGCTGTCACTTCACAGTTCAAGGCACAGAAAGTCTTGAAGTAGCTTGAGTCAGATGGCACAGGGAGAAAAGCTGCTCTGTGCAGCATTCAGGTCAACCTGACTCCAAAGACTGCCATGAGGATGTCCAGTGCCATGCAGGTCACTAGTTTCACAAGAAAAAAGCCATCTACATTTTTAAAAGATTAAAACTTTAGTTAATCACGTTTATTTTCCAATTAAACAGGTAGTGACTGCACATTGTTAAGATGCAGACAGTGCTTATAGGTTTGAAGAAAGTGAAAAATGACTAATAATCAAAACGTCAAGAGGGAACACCAACATTTTTTTAAACTAAATTAAAAAAATTTTTTTTTACCTAACGTATTAGACATGCCTTTCCAGAGGTGCTGACTTATAACTTACTTCTTCACTTAACAATGTATTGGGAACATCTTTCCAATAAATAAACTTCATTTTTAATGGTTGCATAATATTCTCTTGACTGCCACAATTTAATTAGAATTCCTTAATGATTTACAAAATAAATAACATTTACCTTTTTTTTTTCTTAACATATTGCTATTCTGTTGCTTTGAGTTCCATTTCTTTCCCAATAGTGGTATCTAAGAGCTTTTCTTATTTTTCTTAACCAATTCATGCTTTCACCTATGAGAAACAATGTGTAATGGTCAAAGCTCTTTAATCAAAGCCTTTTTCTCCCTCTTCCATAGGGACCCTCCCTGAAATGCTAATAATTTTTTGTTTTCCCTAGTGTCTCAAGACAGGGATTTTCCTTGGCATTTTTGTTTTCACATATTTTTCTGAAATGCACATATAAACTGCTTTCCTTATTTTTCTTCTTTTCTCTCTCTTCCTGTATATCCATACTTCTTATTTTACACTTGCATGTCCCTATTCTAGATCTCTTAAAATGCCTGTGACTGCTTTTGCCTCTACAGTGAGGCATTCACTGCCTTCCAGCTCTAGCCATGGTGCTCCCAAGTTCCCCCGTTCAGACCCACCACATCCCTACCCTCTGCAGGACCCTCCTGTACCGGGGCTGTTCTCTGGTCAGGGAACAGTCTTTCCTGTCATCTGGGGTTGGTCTGTTTATTCAGGAAGCCTTCTCTGGCCCCTTAGTCAAAACTAGTTGTCCTTTCTTCTGTGCTTCTCAGTGCTTTACTATTACTATTGCCACCACCATGTACTTATTCAGGAAAACATCTATTCAGCAGCTGTGGTAAGCTCTGGAGTGCTGGGGTAGATATTACAATACAATACTATACTAAACCATACCATACCATACAATAACCAGCCTTGGCATCCACCCTCTAGGAATCTTCCGCCCCCGGTTAGGTGGATGCGTGAACAGACGTCTCAGCCCTGCGTGGTGAAGGCTGAGATGGAGGAAGGTGCGAGGCGCCAGGGGAACAACAGGCCCCGCAGACACGGGTTGACTTTATTTGCAGCAAGTTTTCCCTTAATAAAAGTCAAGATCCTGAGGTAAGGGACCCATTTTCAAATTCGCCTTTGATCTGGCCAATCTGTTGATAGCAAGAGCCCGAGGTGGTGCCTTTAATAAAGGAATGGCACAGGTGCGATCGGGGGAACGGGCCAGCGGGTGGTCCCTGGGCGCCGGTCCAAGCCCAATACCCATCTCCCCGGACTCTGTACTTTTCACATCTTTCTTTCTCCGTGAAATGGACGCACGTTCCCCTCCGGATTTAGAGGTAACGACTCTTCCGCGAAAGCCTGGAAAATATGACTTCTCCACAAATGGTCTGGGTTGGGTAGGTATAGAGCTTCAGCTGTAGGACCTGCTGAGCCCTCACGGGGGGCGTTGGCTCCGAGACCCGACCGGGAGTTTTTCCCCGGTCCGGCTCGCCGGGCACCTCGGCCCGCCGAACACGTGCGCGATCCGGGAGCGGAGCCTCCGCGCACAGCGCGCCTCGCAGCCGGCGCCGCTTCTCCGGCTCTTCCCGCCGCCCCGAGGGCAGCCGCCCCACCCGCCCCCGCCCCCGGGGACCGCCCGGTAACCGGAGCCCGTACGGGCGCGCCGGCGGGGACGCAGCTTCCCGCCCGTGTCCTCCTGCCGCGGCTGGGAGGAGACATTCCTGCTCTCCCCGCCCGGCCCGCGCCCGTTCCTCCCCCGCCGCGTGTTTTCCGCCCCAGGAGAGACCGTGCCACACAAATAAGCCTCGAATGCCCTTTCCCGAGCGGGCGGGAGGGCATCGAGCGCCGCGTCCGAGCGGGCCATTTTCAGGGCGCGTCTCCGGAGCCGCCAAAAGTCTTGTTTTCTCCCCAAAAGTGGAAGGTGTCGGGGGGCGGGGGCGGGCAAGAGGCCGCTTCCAACTGCTACACACGCTCGAATAGTTGTCAGTAAAATCAAACTGACGTCAGCCCCGGGGAAAAAGATAGGTCTCTTTTGTTCTTATGTTCTCCCCCACCCCCTCCCCTGCGATCAAAGGCAAAAAACATTTTTTTTGGAGGTGGGGGAAAGACAAAAAGGGGGGAAAAATTGCAAGGCAAAGAGATAGCTTCCATTAGAGCTCCAGCCCGGGCGAAGGGAATGTTTAATGAATGCATCAAGCCTTTTGATCACCCTCACTCGGTTGGGTTCAGTAGTGCCGGAAGGTTAGTTGCATATCCTGTGGCTGATCTGAAATTCGATCAGCAGAGGGGGCAAAGAAAAGAAAAGCATTTTAATGGGAATCAATAGAGGATCATAGGTCCTGGAAGGAAATACGTGTTGATTAAAAATGCCACAAGATTAAAAAATGTTCACGACCAGTTTAAAAAAAATAGAGGAGAGGGGGAGGAGGGGGAAAAAAAACCCTTAGCAATCTATTTTGTGTGTGTGCTGCTGCCAGAGAGGCAGTCAGCAGACCAACAGTTTGTGTAATGCTTCAAGCTACAGCAGGCAAATTTAAAGCTGTATGCGCAGAACAACATAATAAATACTTATCGAAAATGCATTTCTATTTCTAAGCGGGGTTCACTCATGCATTATACAAAACACCTAGGGCTGCAGTGGCGAGGCACAAGGGGACAAGTAAGGTGTGCTCTGACTCAAGTTCTTAAACTAAACTCTTGGGCTTTCAACAGTTGAGAGCTAGAGCATATTTATTTGCTTTTTTTTTTCCCTTCTTTAATTGAATCTAAAATAACAGCTTTGGAAGATACCATAGATTTAAATGGTCTGAAATGTAAAAAAAAAAAAGTTGTGATATATAACAAAAATCTGATATTTGTGAATGTGAAGAGGAGGGTAGGGTGGAGAGTTAACTGTGGTAGATAGCATATTGATTGGTTGTGGAGTGGAAAATTATTGCCCTGTAGGTAGAGAGAGTGATCAACAATGTGATAAAAATGGTTGAAGGTTATATGGCTATTTACTTATTACTACAGTGGGAAATGGAAAAAGGCCTTTTAAACCCACTCTTTAACACAGAAACACAAGTATACACCCTATCTGCATGGCCTCTTGGAGAGGAATCAATAGCGTTTAAATGTTTACACTTTTAACGAAGTTCCTTCATTACTGGGAGGGAATTCAGCTGGCAGGGGTGGTGGCCCCTTTTCTAGATGATCTCTAGAGGCTCCTCAGCCAGCTGGGCATTCCAGTCTTCACCCCTTTCTCCTGTCTTTCTTGTTCTCACCCTGTCTTTCAGCCTCTCTAAAGAACAGGAAAAAGAGCAAGGAGGGTTTTTAGGACAATTTCCCTCGTGTATTTCCAATATTTATTGCAGTAGTTTGGATAGAGTAGGATCTATCAAAATTGAGATTTCTTTGTTCAGGCAACACCTCCTCTTACCTTAATGTGTTCTGGCTTCACTAGATGATAAAATGCTTGGAGGAAGGGCGTTTTTCTCCTTTCTCATTCATAACAGTGCTCCTGAGAACCAAACCTCACACCTAGGAACAAGTAGAGAGAGCTGAGTCAAGCTGAGAGTAGCAGATCACACACTGACCACACTCTGAAATCCATTCAAAAAGGAAGATGATTGCTGGGTAAGTTCAAACAAGTGACTTAGCTTCTCTGAGCTTTGGGTTCCTCATCTGTAAGATGAAGGATGCTTATCTCTACCCACCAGAGCTTTTGTGAATGACATAATATATATAAGCACTGTGAGATACTTATATATATGTATTTTTTATATAAATGTCTTCCTTCTCCTAAGATGCCCCCACCCAGGATGCCTCCTTTATTCATGCTCTTGTATAGTCTCTGCTGTGAATTTGAACTGCAGCTGAAGTGACACTTGAGGACTTTCAAGGCTGGATCCTAAGAATCTTGCATGCTTCCACACCTGGGTCTCTTAGAATGCTCCTTCTTGGGGCACTCTCTTTTAGAACCCAGCTGCATTCTTCGAGAAGCATGTGGAGGCCAGGTCACCTGTAGTGTTCAGCTTGGTAACATGTAATTGCTCCCAGCAATGAGTTCCCAGACAGCAGATAACATCAACTGCCCACCAAGTGAGTTGGCTATCTTGGTAGTCCAGTTCTGTTGAACTTTCTGATGACTTCAGCCCCAGCTGCTTTCCTCCTGTAATTGCATGAATGACCTGAAGCAGAGAGTACCCAGCTGAGCCCAGTCAACCCACAGAACCCTGAGACATAATAAATAATAAGTGTATAAATGAACAAATGATGGCTTTTATTAATATCTTAATTTTATAGTAGGTACTAAACCTGCCTGTTGTGGTAATTGAAATTGTTTTAAGTGAAATAAGCTAGGGGATTGACAGTCTCTTCCTTGCTCTTTCTCCTGCCCCTGGGTTATTCTTCACCACCCACAATACCATGTTAGCCCTTACTCCAAAAGGTTAAACCAGGTACTGGCAATATAAAGACAGAATTTTGTAAGCTCTTTTCTCTAGGGGCTTGGAGTCCAACTGGGAAAAGAGGATGCTTTTTCCAAGAAGGAGAAGCCATTTATGCACTGCTAGGTCCTGGCATAGCAATGAGTGTTGAACCATCTGTTGTTAAATGAAAATATTGTTTATTTTCTATAACATGTGCTTAGGAGGGGGGAAGCTCTCTAGGTGTGAGCTGAGCTGGCCTTTGCTCATAGAAAAAAAAAATTTTTTTTTTTCTTCAGCTTCTTTGTGGTGTAGTTCTACCTTTCTTGGGATTTTCAGAATGCTAAGTTCAGGAGGCCAAATATTTTCCGATTTAGGCACCAAAATGAGCAGATCTGGGGTCTTAGTGTTTATAATACCCTCTTATATGTGGTATAGTCAGTGCCCTTGGTTGTTGGTTGAGAGTAAGCAATGGATTTCATGTAGAAATGAACAAAACTTGGGCACAGCGTTCTTTTCTCTGAAACTTGCATGCCTACCATGGGCTTCATTTCCCTGGCCTGCAGTGGTCATCCAAAGTTTCTCATCTGTCATGGTTAATTCCACTCAAGAAGGGCATGAGGGAGTGAGAAGTATGGGCCAGAAGTCAATTCAACTCACAAATCAGTAGAGTACAGCTTAATTTGTAAAAGTACTTACAACATTTTTGTGCTTTTTCTTAATTTACTATAAAATGTTTAAATAGATTAAAGTTTTTTTGATCTGGTTGATATATGTATGTAGAGATACATATAATGAGACTGGTGAAAAACATTTTTTCAGGAGCAAACAGGTCAGCTACTACTCTTCACATATCCTTTGGATGTTTTATTCTGAACGCAATAGTTACAACAACCTTCCGGAACAGAAACTGCTTTCTAAAACGCAAAGTTGGGAAGTGTAATATCATCTCATAAGGTGCCGGCCAAGGTTGCATGCCATCCCGTGCTGCTATCTCTGGCTTGGTTTGCATCATCTCCATGGTTGCTCTTATGCTTCATTCTCATTAGATAGTTGGGGCCAAGATCAGTGTTCTTGGGGTTAAGCTTAGTTCATGAAACGGGGCCCTTTTCATAAGCTTACCATCTGTTTAATTCTTCCTTCCTTCAATCCTTCCTTTTCTTCTTCAATTCTGTCTTCCTTCCTTCCTCATTTATTCATTCAATAAACAATTATTATCTGTCTACTGTGCACCAGATGCTGTTTAGGGCCTGGGGATACACAGATGAACCTTTCGACAGCTTCTAGGTTTGTTGAAAAGACCTGGAGGTAATCAGATAAAGGTTGATGGGGAGACTAGAGTGATTATGAAAAGTCCAAGGACAGTAGTCAGGGGATGGAGAAGGAAGGGGGAAGCCTCAGAGAGTCTGACCTAGAAAAAAAAAGTCTGGGAATTAGCTAGATGAAGGCCAGGGCATGTGAGAATATAGTAAGATGTGAGACTGGATACTTTGCTATATAGAAGAAATTAACATAACGCTGTAAATCAACTATATTTCAATAAAATAAATTTTTAAAAAAGAAAGGAGATTGCAATTGTAAGTCTTTGAAATGTTGGGTGGAGGTTACTCATTTTGCACTGCGCTCTATAAAGACACTTAGACACAGAGATATTTAAGCTAGTCTGGACATTAAAAATAATTTAAACAGTGATAAATGTAAGAAGTCATCACTTAGTCACCTTTCAAGCTACAAGCTGTTTTTCAGATTAAGTGAGCTCACTTCCACTTCTGTCTTTCAGCAAAGGCTTCTCTTGAATATGACTGACCCTTTTAAAGAGTTTTAAAGAGTGGCAGTAGCTGCTATTTTTGAAAAGCGATTTTTTTTTCTTTTACTTGTATGGTTATTGTACCTTAATATCTTATTGATGTTGATAATATTCTGTTCTACAAGTTGCTTACTTTTGTACCTACAAATGTTCTGAGGTATTTGTATTTATCTTGTAGTTACAATATTTTGACTTCATTTTACATTTTTTATTATGGTGAAATATCTATGTGCCATAAAATTTACCATTTTAACCATTTTAAGTGTACTGTTCAGTGGCATTAAGTACATTTCACATGGCTGTACCATGATCACCATCATCTCCAGAAACTCCCTTTTTCCCCCCTCCGCCCTCCTCTGGAAACTGCTTTGTCTCTGTGAATTTGACCACTCTAGGTATCCCCATAATCATTTTAAATTTTAAGCTTTTTGGCAGAATGGCATTCGGACTTGAAATGATGCTGGAGAAAGATTTCACAAGATGAATTACTGAAATTTTTAATACATTTAAGTGATCTGCACACAGATTTTTAATTTTCCATGAATGTGTAATTTATTCTGAAACTGACTATATCATTATGTCTCAAGTCATCATCCGAGGGGTCAAAACTTTTAGCCTGATAAAGGCTATTGAACAATTAGGATAGTACTATAAATTAAGTCTTAAGATTCTCTCTCATCTAATTTGATTGGATCTTGCTTCTATATGTAAAGTTAAGTGTCTTCTAGCTAGAACAATCTTATTCACTATTCCTCAGAACAACTCTGTTATTAACTCCCTTAATATACGAAAAATGATTGATATTATGATGTATTTTTATAATCACTCATTTTACACATTTCTGAAGACAGTAAAAATAACATTTTATTTCACACACAAATATTTTAAGAAATAACACTTTATACTCTAATGTATAAAACTGTCTTAATTTAACTAGTAAAACTGACTCTGAGAAATAAAGATAGGAGACTATAGCTTACATCGACTCAAACCTTTGTAAAAAATATATTACACAGTAAGATTAGAGACATACACCTAGATTATAAATAATTTTATTGCCAAGTTATCCATATGAAAATTTAATTAATAAAAATTATACACTACAATAAAAATCTCTATAATAGCAAAATTTAAGCATTTACAGCTTTTGGTTTCAATATGATGTCATCTTGGCCAGAATAATTTGGAAAAGGCCTTCACTCTTAGAACTAATTTCTTTATAAGAATTCTAGTTCTTAGGTTGCACTAAAGACAGAGGAACCTCATTAATTCTCACTTTGCTAACCCATAAACCCTATAATTTCCACAAAAATTCCTCAGCAATATCATTTTACTTCATAGGAAACATTTTATGGCGAGGAGCTCTAGGCAAATCTCAAATCACTAAGAATTCATTACTTTTGCCAAATATACTACAGGCGATTCACTAGCTGACTATCATAAAGTATTATGACTCAACTACATTTATATAAATAAACTTGTAAAGCAAATATCATGATTTCAAATTCGGATGTAAAAAAATCATTTTGTGCATACACTCACACATTTCCATACATAAATATATATTATGTGGTGACTGTCATAAGAATAGCCCCTACTGAAGTACACTTCCCTGTATCTGTGTCCTGACCCGGGGTACACGTCTCTATCCTGTGACTATGGGCTTGCCTTGTGAGTTGATTTGACCCTCAGGAAAAAGCGGATCCTGAGTGCCTCCTGAGCCTAGACTTCTAGAGGCTTTGGAGCATCCACTCTTGCTCTCTTGTAACCCTGAGACTACCATGCTTTGAACAAGCCTGGCATAAAGGACTGTGAAGAAGCCTCAGCTAGCTCAGCCGTCTCGGCTGAGCACAGCTGGTCCTTCAGTGAACATGGCTGTATGAGTTGGCAGAGTTGGGGAGCAGCAGCAGACCTGCCTGACCAACCTGTAGAACCATGTGGAATAATAAATTATTTCGAACCACTAGGTTTTGGGGGTGGTTTGTTGGATAGCTGTATATAGTTGATAAATTAGAATTAAGTACTGATTGGTGTGACTAAAGGATTTCCTTAAAGACTTTTCCTTGTAGTGGTAGTAGACACAGTTATAGCAGTATACTCTTCACTGTGTGTCTTGGGTGACAGTAAAATCCCCACGGCTGTTTTAATGTTAAAACTGGGAACACATAAGAAGAAAGGACCAAAGAAATACGGAGTGTTACAGGGCCCAATTCAGTTGCTTGGGAACTACTACTTTAATCTCAGAGACCTGTTACATTGCTAAATTAAGCAAAAATTTTTACAGTTAAATTTACTTGAGATCAAAT